AACTCATTTTTGTATGGAGTTGGAACGTTTGCCTACGTTTGCCGCTAAAGGCGCTGTTTTAACTGCATACAAATTTGAGCTAACTTTAACGCTATCGAGAACGTTAAAAAACTCGCACTAAGCAGACTGTTGGACCTTTTGGCCGGAACGCGAGGAGTGAAGTTGTGTGATTTGTTTTATTTTGTCTATTTAGTTGTTCTGCAGGTTGAAATGTGTAATAACGGTGGTTTATTAACTGTTTAGTATAAGTGAAAGTGCACAAATGTGGGAAAATGAAACAATGCCGCTGAACGTAACTTCTTGGGATCCTCCAAAAGTCCAGTAAAAAAGTCTCAGTACATTTTACTGAGATTATATTTCATCCCATATCATCTCATTTCATTTTATTGCATGCCATGTTTCATATCGTTCATCACGAAAAATGTGTATAAAAAATTAGGCTGTATGGTACCTTTGGTGATATGGTGATTGATACCTTTGCTTTTCCAGTTGGGAAAATAAAACTACTACATACTAAGCACACTGAACAATTGTGTTTCATTACATAGTATAAAACAAAGTCGCTTTCTCTGTCCCTATGTATGCTTAAATCTTTAAAACTACGCAACGGATTTTGATGCGGTTTTTTTAATACATAGATTAATTGAAGAGGAAGGTTTATATGTATAATAACATCCATTAAATAGTGGAGAAATCAATAATAAATTACAGTTTACGAAGAGAAGCGAGGGCGGGTCGCTAGTTAAGTATAAGTTTGAGAGAGTGGCAGCATCGTGTGTTAATTTAAATGTTTTTTAAATTACACACGCATTGCAATCTTTTCACTGTTTCGCAGTTCAAGCATCTCTGAATTGTTGGACAAATTCCGATAAAATTCCAACTGGTGTCGGCGTGAAATCGATACGATGTCAGCCAATTTGTTAGAGCATCGAATGAATTCAGTCATTCATTCCCGTCCAGGAAACGGAGTTATGTCCTTCATTCTGTCAATCAATGTCGCTGCATTTAATTCAATATAGATTCAATTAAGCTAGTGTTCATTGGTCAGTTGACGTTTGGCTCGTGTATTTGAAGTATCTTTCTTGTACCAAAACTTTGCCAAAGTCAGTAGTGTGGTCTAGACTTTACTTTAGTTTACAAGACTATACTTTACTAGATTAGGAATTGAAATAATTGTAAATGAGTAGCACACATGGCCGCCATGTCGTTAATACCAACATTCAAATTGAGATCTCATACCTCAATTACTTCATGTTAAAGTTTATAGTACATTGTGCAACAAGGGAGAAAACTAAGATGAGATGTCCTACTTTTTTCCCGCGGTGCACATACTATTTTTTCTCCTATCAGGCGGAAAGTTCGTGGAGTACCGAGTCGGGGTCCAGGGGCGAAGCCCGGGTGGGGTCCAGGGGCAAAGCCCTGGCAGGGGATAAGGGGGCGGAGCCCCCCCATTCTCATAAAAAACAATTTAACTGTTTTTTAATTTATAAACAAACTATTACTGATTGAATAAGAACTATCTGATGAACTCATCTTTGTTTAATACTTCGAAATTGCCTTTTGTTTATATATTAGGAAAAGTTACACTTTCTTCCCTGTACAGCGGGACGAAAACTGAAGTTTCGGCGTAGGTAGGAGAAAAAAACTTAGTACGGTAGTTACTATGCAAACTGGAACGCAGCCTAGTAATAAGCAACTAATAGTTCATTATAATATTTTATGGTTCAAAAAATCCGACCTGCAAAAAATTGCTAAAGACGGCTAAATTGTAGGGCGTCTTGTGAGTCCGCGCGGGTAGGTACCACCACCCTGCCTATTTCTGCCGTGAAGCAGTAATGCGTTTCGGTTTGAAGGGTGGGGCAAACGTTGTATTATAAAACTGAGACTTTACTTTGTCTACTTACTAAAATTGTCGTGTTACGAATTAAGCTTTTGATCGTATTTCTGTAATGTTCTATAGCTATTGTCTGATCGGTGAATATAAATAAAATGTCTATGGTTAAGCTTTGCATTTTTTATTTATTTTCCCTTGGTTCCTTGATTTCCTTGATCAATAACAAAGTATAACATGTCAAAAACCACGAAGTGTAAAGAGTTTAATTCTAACAATCAATGAACACAGAATAGATCTGTAGAAAATATTTCAAACAACATTATTACAATATTTCGGGCAATACCTAAGTCTCATCATATTATTACAGTGAATTACAGCTATACCATTTACAACCCGTAAACGGTTCAAATTGGAAGCACTACAGGTGAATTAGACAATCGGATTCCGTTTTAGGCGGAATCCCTGGTTTAATGCGATTATGCTAGCCGTCCGGAACCTAGTCTAATGGCTTCCAAGTTCGGCGCATATGTATTCAAATGTACGATGAAAAGCGTGTTTTTTTTTCTGAAATCACGTGGCTTTAGGTTAGGTTATTCTGTGCATACAGATGTTTCAGTCATCAAATTCAAATTTTAATTTATATTCAAGATTTTATGAAAAATGATATGACGTTAAATTAAATTAAATGAGATGATATGGGATGAAATATAATCTTAGTAAAATGGTGGTCATTTAATGAGATTTTTTCAGTGGACTTTTTGGAGGATCCCGAGAAGTTACGTCCAGCTGCTTTGTTGCATTTTTCCACACTTGTGCACTTTTACAGATATTAAACAGTTAATAAACCACCGTTATTACACATTTAAACCTGAATAAACACTAAATACTCATTTACAAAATAAACAAATCACACAACTTCACTCTTCGCGTTTGCGCCAAAAAGTCAGTACCGTAAGCATTTATTGTTTATCCACAGATTATCTATATTCTGTACAACAAAAGCGTTAATACGTGTTCAATGTGATCTGAATACGGTACAGATGTTTATGGCTTTGTTTGATATTTTTGTAGACGAATGTATGAATGAATTCCGTAACCCTCGTGTTTTTCTTACGGTGAAACATAATTCATAATATAGATAACACGTTTTAATAATAAATAATCATCATTGTATTGCCTGACAGATTCTTCCCGCGCAAATGTTTGTTCGAATGCGCGGGAAGCGGATGTTTGTTTAGGCTTCACAAATAAACGGCCAATGAGTGATTTTTAAGGATTGTTATGTTTTTTTTTTTTCTTTGTACTTAGTTCGAAGTTAGAAATCAGTTAAATAATTGTTTTTCTATTGTTATTCTTTTTAAATAACAGTTCGTTTTAAACTAAAAACCTCGTCAGCGTCGCTGCATTTGAAACTCGATGAAACGAAAAAGTAGCATTAGATAGAGACAAAACGAACTTACACACTGCATTGTTTAGCTTAGGAGAGAATGAGATAGAAACTTCTGAATATTTCACTTTTACCCTACGAATAAGTAATAAGCTTTTACCGTGTGTGAATAGATTTCTTCTTATTAACTAACTTTGACATGTCTAAAGTTATTTCATTAACCTACGCAGATAATCGGAATGCTTAATTATAAAATAAAATTGTTTAAAACTAAATAAGACAAGACAGTTCATTCTTGGATCCTTCTAATAACTATCCAAAGCAAACAATTTAGGCGCTTCATTACGAATTGTATCTAGTAACAAAATAAGTTTTTTTTATTTTTTATGATGGTTATGTGCATTAAAACTTTTTGTTATGTAGCTTAGGCTATATGTTAGGTGGGCCGTATGCTCGTCTGTCTACAAAGCCAATAACGGAAAACCAATCATTGCCGCGAAGCAGTAATAAGTCAAAATCAACCATTTTTCTTCTTTTTCTCCACCAGTAGTAGCTGGGGTCGGCACAGCTAATTTTTGTCTTCCATTCTCTTTTATTAGCCGTCATCTCAACACTCACTCCTCTTTCTCTCATATCGTAATTCACACACTCCATCCATGTCTCCTTCGGTCGATCTCTTCCCACTATACCTTGCACTACCATTTCCATACATCTCCTAGTCGTCTTCAAGTCAAAATTTACTATTGTTAGAATAAATTAGAGCCACAAGCCGCCGCGCGCCGGATCGTTAACAGTAGTCGATATTTAACACTACCTTCAATTCTTAGACGTTCAGAATTCAGGCCCTCAGGTCTTGGAGTATTTCGAAACTATCAAGGAAGGCCTTGATGCTATCAAAACATGTTTTCGCTGGGACCCTCGTCACGGCCCGAACACTCCGTCAAACTGTCACTTTGAACTTATGAGAATAATTCAATCCATTACGTCTATGAGATTGTACGCACATTGTATACATTTTGTATACACTGCGAATACTTTCAATAGAAAGTAGACGTTTTAATTATTAATACTAGTGGTCCCGCAGTAGTCGAAATTCGACTATAATTAATTGAAATCATAAGTTTGAACATTATTATTGTTCTATTGTCAAACACCATTATACTTCTATAATATAATCACAGATTTCGTCAAAACTACATTAAAGATAAGTAATATTAAAGACAAACAATATTAATCTATTCTCAGTTTGATCACATGCTTTAAACAATGACAAAAGTTTGATAAATAATTGACAATAATCAAAGAGTATAATTATAATATGTCTGTTTGTGTCAAATACATCGTAGTGTGTGTAATATTTATTTTATTGATTTAATGTATTTATTATGCATAATTAAAAAAAATAGCATTCTGCACCCCTTCTGTACATTCTCTATAAGTGTGGCAAAATTTCATATTCCTCCGTCCGCGTAATTTTCGTAAAAAGGGGTACAAAGTTTTTGCTTCACGCATTCACATTTAGATTGTTTTCAATATTGCCTAAATCCATAGTTGCTAGAAGATTCTAGATCTCTGAGCTCGCACAAGTTGGTTAAGCGAAGTATTACAAAAAAAAAAACTTATCCCTTTTTTTAAGCCCAAGTAATTAAATCGTTCGATCTTTGTTAATCGGATGTTTTGAAATTTATGAAAATCACGTTAGAATATTCCGTTAATAGATAAATAGATTGAATAGGGGTCGAGATGATAAAACCTGTTAATTAATTGTTAGGAACTCACCTCAATAAATGTATCGGACACAAATCTTTGGACCAGCGACGTCTTCCCACACTGAGTATCCCCTACAAGGACTACTTTGATCTCTTCTTCTGCTGTAGGAGTACCAGCTGTACCGGTTTCGCATTTCCTATTCGACCACATCTTCTTAGCGCTCTGCGGAAGAAGAGAAAAAGAGGCTTAGATTTTTTTTTAACAAAATAGCAAATTCGTCACTTAGATTATTTAAAATAACTTTTATAGGTACTTTATATTTTTAATAGCTGTTAACCGCGACTTCCCGCGTTTTTTATTGCCCTTGTAGGCATACGAGCATACGGCCCACCTGATAGTGAGTGGTTACCGTCGCCCACGGACGTCAGCAATACCAGGGGCAAAGCCAACTTGCTGCCTACTGTATTCCATAAAAAGCGTCAATGTAATTTACCGTGGGTATGGTATGATATCTTGTTCGGAATAAAAGGTAGCCTATATTTCACTTCCCTGACCAAAGATAAAAAATATGTCAATCTCTTGCTTCGTTTCGTCGTGAAAGAAAGAAGGACACATATATAGACACAAAAAAAAACACTTTCAGATTTAATAATATTAAATAAGTATGGAAGTTCTTTTTGACGTTCAACAAGTGTGTACTTTCATTTATGTTGAATAAAACAATTTAATTTGATTTGATTTGATTTATTATTATTTGTTTAACAGAGAAAGACAAAGATGGAACAAATAGTGATTCGAAATTTTAATTGAATTTACGGGTTAATATTAGCATTCTTCAATGTTCAATACAAAAAAATCACGTACGAATTATCCCTAGCCATTTTCAGTGTTATTACGATTTTGAGCGGATAAAAAAACGAAAGATCCCAATTCGTTACGTTACGATAAGAGGATTTGTTTGCGAAATTAAGAATCAGCTATGGCAAAGAGAAAAATCCAAAAGCAGAATTGACTTCGTCTTCAGATTCCGCATGTCCAATTTCGATAATTTTTTTTCATTAGTCTAGTGAATACCGTATAATGTTTGCGAATAGTATTGTGTAAGTGCGAAAAATTAAAATATGGTTTTTTTCTCGTTCAGATAAGATAATCTATTATAATTGTTAAAGCTTTTGGCGTGTCCGTGTGTGGTGTATAATCTGTACTAAGCTCGTTAATCTGTAATTCAAAACTTTTTGAAGGGAACGCGAGGAGTGAAGTTGTGTGATTTGTTTTATTTTGTCTATTTAGTGTTTCTTCAGGTTTAAATGTGTAATAATGGTGGTTTATTAACTGTTTAATATCTGTGAAAGTGCACAAATGTGGGAAAATGAAACAAAGCTGCTGGACGTAACTTCTCGGGTTCCTCCAAATAGTCCACTGAAAAAATCTCAGTAAATGACCATCATTTTACTGCGATTATATTTCATCCCATATCATTTCATTTCATTAAATTTCATCCCAGTTGATTAATGTCTCAAATTAATCATCTTCATTTCATTTCACTCCATATTATCATTTTTCATAAAATTAAGAATATAAAGTAAAATAAGACATGACTTAAAGGTCTTAGTTACCAGGTCATAAAATCTCTTAAAAAAATCTGTAATTCAATTTAAGTAGCTACTCTGTAATTTTAACATAATCTTTATCTAACAAATTTTATGAGGGAAAAATTCCCGCTCCTATAATTTAACTAAAATAAAAAATAACAAGCGTCTCTAAATAAATTATTGTACAATTATAAATAAAGTCTCGTAAGCAATAAAACGGGAATTCATTCTATCATCAGATACACTAATATATGTATGTATGTATTTATGTTATACAAAAAACTTAAGAGTTATAGATTACTTAAGAAAACGTTTTATTATAGAAAAAAACAAATGTGGAAACACAAGCACATAGGTCGGATTTATCCATAAAGGCGATCTCTTCCAATCAACTATTATTTACATACAATTAAATATAAAAAAATTGATTATTAATTTTCAATATTAATCACGTTCTAGTGACGTGTGGAGGTTTAATGACGGAAGGAAGATCTTCCATCGAGCGGGTGATATTTGCTCGGTAGACCGACGGTCCGAATGTTGTTGTTCGGAACTTGTATTATGCAAGCTTATCTTGAAAATGTCGTAAGCGAGATTCAGGCATTTGTCAAATATCTTGCGTTGTATGATGGCTACCAACACAATAGCCTTAGTTATGGGCGCGCCGGTAAGCGTCTTTACCAAATATGACCAATGGGTAGGTGAGCGTCCGCGTGATCTTCTACCGTCAACCCGTCAACGAACCACCCATAGCCCATGCGATTTGGGTGTGAAAATGTAATTAAGATTTTCTCTACGTCATCATCGCACTCTGTGTGCTCATTGCGAGTTTTTAATGTTATCGATATCGTAAAAGTTAACTCGAATCTGTATGCAGTTGGAACAGCGCCTCTAGTGGCTAATGTAGGCAAACGTTCCAACTCCATACATATTTGAGTTAACTTTTACGCTGTCGAGAACGTGAAAAACTCGCATTAAGCACACTGCTTACTATTCGCCTACAACGCCCAACAGACCGTAAACTGAGTCGTCTATGTTCAGCAAACATAAACATAGAATCGAATCAAACAAAAAACGTGTAATGGACACCGAACTTCCAAAGATATATCTCAAAATATTCGAACGTTGGAAAACAATTTTCTCGTTCGCCACACACATCTGTAGGTGCTTACATACATTGAATATTGCCGAGCGTAAAAAGTAACTACCTGAACAGATACCGGCTATTAAAATATCTGTTATTTTTTATTGTATCGCATATCCGTACCGATATTTCGATGACTAACGGGACTAGGTATTAATAAATTTCGCTTTCAGTTGTGTGTTTATGTTTTTTTTGGATCGAAATGTTCTTTTTAATTGATATTCGATACTGAATTAAACGTGTGGCTTTCTGAGGTAAAACAGCCAAAAATATTTCGAATATTTTGAATAATAACGCGTATGTTTTGAAATTTAAACATCAAATTCGCGATGAAATTTGTAATTGTGAAATTTAATTGAATTAACCGATAAGATAAGTAGTATTTACACTTCGATAAGAATGGGCCTAATGATAATCGCCTTATCGTTGCCGCCGCTGACTACTCCCCAAATCCTATCACGCAGGAGCCAGTCACCGTCGACACTTTAGACTCGTCCTTACGGATCCATCAGATTCAATAACTGTTGCAACCCCGGTAACCATACTCGTCGAACTCTTTACCGAGTTCGCAACCGAACCTAAACATCAGACCGCTAAGTTTCTCGCCCAATCTTCTCAGCGGGTCGCGATTCCGATCCGGTAGTAGATTCATCCGCAAAGCAACTGCTCTTGAGTTGTTAGGTCTCTTTGGTAGGCGCTCGGGTAACTCTGTTTTTGCAAGCACCTATCTTGCTAGGGCTAGTGTTAGCAAGTCCTCTCTCTCGGGTTAAGCCAGTGAGCTCACCTTCCCGTCCCTCCTGGATACCTGGGAATAGGTAGGGAAAAAAAGAGGACATTGAGCGCCTTTTGACTGTTGATAATTCCCCTTATATTGTTTTTAGAAACATAAAGTTTTTCGGTCAACAAAAAATTTATGGACGTATTCGTGGATACTTTCTTGTTCTTCTAGGAATCATAAAAAAACATGAATTTGAGGTTTATAAATTTTTTTTTTATCTTTTACATTAGGACGAATTATGATTTGGAATCTTTATGATAGTCTTAAAGAAATATATCATGTATGTGTAAAAAATAAAAGATTAAAAAACTAGATGCTTAGTATAATTTTTAAGGATAAACTTTTTTTAATTTCTTATGTGGGTGGACGAGCTCAGTGCCCATCTAATCTTAAGTGGTTATTAAAGCGGAGCCCATAGACATCTATACCTTAAATACCGCCACCTACCTTGAGACAAGGTTTGGTCCAATTTTGATAGACGATTCTGAATATTTAAAACAATACAACGCAACCTACTTATTTAACCTTTTTTCAGAATTTCTTTAGACTAGTGGTCCCGCAGTAGTCGAAATTCGACTATAATTAATGGGAATTGTAAGTTTGTACATTATTATGATTGTATTTTATACTTCTATAATCACAAATTTCACCAAGACTACACTATAAAAAATATTAACAAAGACAAACAATATTTAATCTATTCTCAATTTGGCAACAGACGTCAAGAACAAAAGTTTGACAATAAATAGTATGCATGCGTGTGTGCGTCAAATACATGGTATGTAGTGTGTGTAATGTTTTCTTTACTGATTTAATGCATCTTTTATGCATTATTTAAAAAATATATTAGCATTGTGCACTTCTTCTCTATATTCTCTATAAGTGTGGAAAATTTCATACTCCTCCGTCAGCGCAATTTTCGTAAAAAGGGATACAAAGTTTTTGTTTCACTTACATATAGATAAAAACGATTGTCTTAAAGAGCGCCTGACTGCTTTTTAATGCTATGCTGAATGTTGATGTGCAATAAATTATACCTACTGTCTTTCTCTCTCAGTAACTGTGTCTAAAAAAAAATCGCAATTCGATACACTAAGTACTCGATACTCGATTGAATTGTTCGGACGCTTAAGAACGAGACCGCTATATCCGTTCTTTGTAAATTTTTGGTAAACAACATTTATTGCCACTTAATTAGTTAAATTTTAATCGGAATTACGCAATTATATCTTATTGGGACAAGGTTTTTTGACAATAAAACCGAGATAATCCGAAGGTTGCTTTGTGTATAGATTTATTTATTAATATTGCTTAAATGGATAGACGGGCTCGTGGCCTACGTGTTGTTAATTGATTAAAGGAGCCCAAAGACATCAACAACGTACATGAGGCACGAGTTCTAAAGTCTCAGTTTTATAATACAACCTTTGCTCACCCTTCCAACCAAAACGAATTAATGCTTCACGGCAGTAATAGGCAGGGTGGTGGTACCTAACGAAGGGACTCACAAAACGCCCTACCACCAGTTGGCAGGACTCCCTATGACTAGTATGGCTACCATTACCATACAAATACTCGTAAAATTCTACGGCTTACCATATATCTTGAGTTATGGATTATAGAAATTTTAACGTAGCCTTTAGCGACCTCGAGATATGATGTCGAAGTATTAATAGCACAATGGCTGCTCCATGACTAAAAAATAAAA